TGCTTTCAATATGTACACAGACTATACGCGACCGCAATTAACTTTCTTTGCATTAATGCCTTGGCCAGCACTACAGCGTACAGTGTACACCCATGTATTTATTTACAATTCTCATTCGCTTATAATGGGCCAACTAATTAAGAAAACATATTATGGTTAGGCGGGTTCAAACTACACAGTAAAGTGTGATTGTCGTCCTTAGTTGTTGAATACAAATATGAAAATATAAAATATGAAACAATAGAAAATATTTGTAACAGCTCAAAAATAGATTTATATTTAAAATTTTGAGTTGATTGATAAAAATAGATGGTAAAAATAGATTTACGAGATTTAACGGTTTATAAAATGGTTCCATCCAAGGGTGTAATGCAAGGAAATTAATTACAGTTGCGGACACTCTGCGTACATATCGAAACCAGTTCTCTTTGGGCGGAATTTGTAAATAATAATAGATGCATCATTGTTTGTTTAATATCCGAGGGGGTTAAATGCATAAAATTTTGATAATTTTGATAATTCACATAATATTTTCCTATGACCAGAATATTTCATTGATTTTTTTATGTGAAAGATGGATCCAATGTCAGGATTCGACATCCGTCTTGTGTTTACATTACCACCCCGAGACAGTACACTGCAGTACAAAAGATGCGTACACCTCTGAAATAACTTTCCTTGCATTGCAACCTTGGTTCCAGCAATGATTATCATCAATGTCTTTCCTATCTATATTTTTTCATTTGAAAATTGGCGATTGGTTGATGAAGGTTTTTTAAACCATTGTACCATATATAACGAGGGATATATCAACGGCAGTCACTTAAAACTACGGCTGAAGTCCGGTAAAGGAGGGAAAGATCTTATCTTTTCACTTTTATCTTAAAAAAAGAAACAATAAAAAATAATTAGTCATTGTAACTCTTTAATCATAAAAAGGCCTGCAACTTTCCAAATTACAAATATCTTACCAATTTTTTAACCCTACATAATCTTTTCGTAAATTGAAAAAAATTCCTTTTAACAATTCGGTATTACGGAAAAAATAATAGGGTTTCTGTTTTTAATTAAAAAGAGGCGAATTCAAAAAAAAGAGTAACAATGACACATCGTACACAATTATAAAACAAAATACCATTTAGTTTTTTAAAATCTTTATTTTGTAGAACATTAGATAATTATTATTTTGTAATATATATATATGTTATAAATTTTAAACTTATTTTAATTGAAAATTTAAATTTGTCTAATACGATATAAATACTATTATCTTTTTCAACTAGTAAAATTCTTTTGTTTTATTTTAGGATAAAAAATAAATTGTTGGGATTTAACTTAAATTATTCAATTTATTTCTTTTGCATTTTTCCAATCCAAAACAAAGAGAATAGAAAATATATTAGAGTGGAATTTTCTAGAAAAAAGTGTAAAACGGCCATTTTGTTTTACTGTTTCCATACTGCAGGTGTACTTCACATATTTGTGCTATATAACCTTTCTTTTGGGCCCTGGAACATCATTTTATAGAATTCTAAAATTGATATTAAAAGAAAACCAAATTATGAAATAGGCTGGTTTCATAATTGACCAATGATCATTTCACATAGAATCTTTGCCTTTCACTTTACAAACGATGATTTTCCGTTATAACTATAAATCAAATGATGTTTTTTATTCACCTAATTCATTTTATAAGGTTTATTTTACAGCTTTAAAAAATTCGAAATTGAAATGGATAGTTTAGGGATCATACTGTATTAATGTACTCTACTGCATATAATTTGTGAACATTTACATGAATTGTACACTTTGAACTCCCTTTCAGGCTATAAGGGACTGACAAAATTCATACCGAGGGATTACTAAATTCCCCTCTAATATATATTCTATTCTCTTTGTATATAAAAGTTCAAAAAGCATGGTTTTTGCTTTGATATAAGTTCTTTCGTTAAACATGAGATTAACAAATTTGAAGTTTTCCAAAATGATTTATGAGAAATACCACTCGCACATTTTAATACTGTCTGATAAAATGTTTTGCGCATTTTTAAAGTGCGCGACTGCTGACGTATTCTGAAGTGCCATCTTTATTAGAAGAGTTTCATACCCGAGTCACAATGGTACCCTTGAAACTGTAATTAACAAAGAGGACGATATCATATTTTATCAAATTCTGATTCTTGGGGCTGCATTATAATTCAACAAGTACTTTTATTAAAGGCCCCAAAACATCAATTTTCAATAAAAAGGGATATCTCCATAATGGAGTTGAGTTTTTGACACAAACTCTGATTTTCTAATCTCTATATCTTTGTAACCCAATGTCGTAAACCTTAGATATTTCAAACTATTAATACTTGAAGATAAAATAATCTAAGTTTGAAATATCAAAGGTTTGCACCATTAGGTTGCAAAGATATTGGGATCAGAAGATTTGAGTTTGTGGCAAAAACTCAATTCCTTTATCTTTGAAAATTTCAGATTACAGTTGTAAATCGGATATATAACTGTTAAATGGAGAATCACTCCAAACTACGCCGACAATCCGAGTTTATTTAACCCCTGAGACGAGATTTTAAAAGATTAAACCCGACTGAAACCCGTTCTTTGCGTCTGCTTAGACCCAAGTAAAGCTCAAGTCAAGACCCGGGTTTTAGATGGCCTTGATTTTGGTAAGAACCAACCATCTTGGTTTTTTCTCTCTTTAAGGCTCGAGTCTTCAGTAGCTGATGAAATTTCGTCAAATCTTTTATATTTGTGGAGGATGAAGAAGCCCTATGGTTTCTTTTCGTTTAATTCTTTTTAAAATTGGAAGAATTTAATTAAATCTTAATTGATTCTTGACAATTTAAAAATTCTTCGAGGTCAAATCCCTTGTGTTGAGTGTTATTAATCTTACATGGTTGATCTCGATATCCAATGTGGGGACATTTTGAAATTAAGGATCAATGGTTGATCTCAAAATCCAAGTTATCCCTGCAGGTTATGGCCACCATGAGATGTGTAAAAGATTAAGATCAATGCTTGATCCTGAGATTCACAACACAAAGTTCCGTCCTAAGATTAACAAATATTCGCCTAATACACTATTTAGATATACGTTAGATAAAATATATCCTACAACATATTTGTAACTTTAAGGTGCTTTTTCATACATGTTATATATTTGGACAAAAGATCACTTTTCTAAATTTATTTTTAAAGGGACTGACGTTGAAATTATTCGATTCACGACGGTGCCCTTAAGTCTGATATTTTGTGAAAGATGTTAAATTCTTAATCAGCTTTTAAGGGTACCCTTGTAAATCAGACATGTCGCTCACACGAGGATTTTAAAATAACGTTTACATTCCCTTTAACTGCTAATTAATTGACTAAAAGTTTGATAACACTGATAAAATCAAGGTAATAATGCAAAGGAAGTTAGTTGCGGTCGTGTATACTCTGCGTACATATTGAAACAAGTTCACTAATGGCAGAATATGTAAACAAGAATAGATGCATCAGTGTTCGTCTAGTATCCAAGGACGATAAAAGCGTTTGATTTTGCCCATTTTGATAATTTACATAATAGTTTCCTATGGCCAGAATATTTCATTGATTTTTTTATGTGAAAATGGATTCCATGTCAGACTGTGACATCCGTCTTGTGTTTACTTTTCCGCCCAAAGACAGTACACTGCAGTACAAAAAAATACGTACTCCTCTGAAAAAAACTTTCCTTGCATTAGCACCTTGGATAAAATTCAACATTTGTACATTTTAATTTTTATTTTGCCTCTGACACGGCAAACTAAAAGTTTTCATTTTGCCTCTCTGACGGCAAACTAACTGTTTTATTTTGCCTCTGACATACAAAAACGCTTAGCATTAAGTTTATGAACCATATGTTCGAAGTGGCCACCATCAACTTTGAAGCCTGCCATATTAAAAGATGATGAATGTGTCCTGATCTTGGGAAAAAGCAAAATTTGAGACTTTAGAGCTCTTGTCTCCAGATACAGTTGTGAAATAATGATTTTTATACATAATTTAAAATGTTCTTTAGTAATGGATAGGAAAATACATGTTAATCAAAGTCAACCTTTGTGGCAGTTTGATCATACTGTTGATAGATAGTAGGATAGATAGATAGATAGCTATAGATAGATAAATACATAGATAAATAGATAAATATATATATACTAGAAATTCAAGGCGCTTCGCGCCCTTCTTTCTAGCCTTAGAGGGCGCTTCGCGCCCATCTTCTAAATTAGTTGTGAACATGTTCTCTTTGTGTACATCGTAAAACAAAACAAAAATAATTCGCGGATTTTTACAAAAAAAATTCGCGGATTTTCGAAATTTTTAAAAATTTAATGACGATCGAATTTTGATAGAGACAAATATTTGAAATTTTGATTTTTCATAAACCTTCCCTGGGGTCCCTAGATGTCCCACAAAAAATTTGGGCCCGATCGGTTCAGTCGTTTTGACGTTTATTGGATACAAACAAACAAACAAACAGACAAACAGACAAACAGACAAGCCAAATTTATATATATAGATATATATATATATATAGTTACTAGATATATCTATAAAGCAATAATCAGAACAGCTTCTCAGTTTTTATATTTATTAATACAAATTGTTTCAGATCTCTTGATCCTCATCAGTCAATAAACATAGATAGATAGATAGATAGATAGATAGATAGATAGATAGATAGATAGATAGATAGATAGATAGATAGATAGATAGATAGGTAGATAGAGATAGATAGATAGATACCCATTTAGATAGAAGATAATCCCCGCTGAGATGTTTTGGCAGAGAAACTCAAAGAATCCGCACAAATATTGCAAAAAGAATTAGTAAAAAGTGTGTTTTAGGCCAGCTAGCTGTCATTCAAGCTTTGTAATAGTTCCAGGGATCCAGTACATTGTACACTGAACACTGTACACTGAACATTGTATATTGTACAATGTACACTTTATATATACACTACAATGCTTACCTTAAACTTTTTCTTGTTTTGGTGCTAGATCTTCTCTTCCTGCACTCTCCTCGCAGCAGTGTTGGGGTTGACGGTCTAGGTTAATTAATACATTAATATATTATAAATAAAAACTATTTTCAATTTATTCTAAAGTTTAAATTTGTTATTATGATAGTATAATAAAGAAGCGATTTTTCTTTAAGAGTGAGTGCATTGAATTTAGCATTTAGTGAGTGTAGAGTTTTATGATTGTAGTGTTTTATGAGTAGCGTTTTATGAGTGTAGCGTTTTATGAGTGTAGCGTTTTATGATTGTAGTGTTTTATGAGTGCAGCGTTTTATGAGTGTAGCGTTGTATGGGTGTAGCGTTTTATGAGTGTAGCGTTTTATGAGTGTAGTCTTGAGTGTAGCTTTTTATGCGTGTAGCGTTTTATGAGTGTAGCGTTTTATGATTGTAGTGTTTTATGAGTGTAGTGTTTTATGAGTGTAGCGTTTTATGAGTGCACCGTTTTATCTGGTAGTGTTTTATGAGTGTAGCGTTTATGATTGTAGTGTTTTATGATGTTAGCGTTTATGAGTGTAGTGTTTTATGAGTTAGTTTCGTTATATAAGTTGTGTTTTCTGAGTGTGGCGTTTATATGTGTGTAGCGTTTTATGAGTGTAGCGTTTTTCTAAGTACACCAAACACAAACTTAGCATATATAAAAAATAATTTGATCAATAAAGGTTTTCTGAGCCCGAAATTTAAAAAATTAAGAAAATAAGACTTCGGTCTGAGCTTTTATCTAGACTAATTTAAGACTCGAGCTTTCCGTGTTAAGTTGCATCTAGTTTTGCACAAAAGTGGTGCTTATTAAACCGGTTTAGTATCGTATTTGGTGGATTTTCATGGTTGGGATCGGAAGATTCGATAGATTTTATTAGAAAAGACTCAACACTGAGACTAATTCTCCAAGAAATCAGACCAAGTTCGGTTTATTTTAAGTCAAGTCTAAGAGATTGCAGCTTTCGATCACGTGACACAAGCTGTAGTCGCCTGATTTATAAATTTGGTCAAGATTGAGTCCTAAACCTGGGTCTAAGGAATTAAGACTCGAGCCAAAGCTTTTAAAATTCTGGATTTGGTGTCCAAAATAAGCAAAAAGCTAAATTAGTTTAAACATAAAAGATTTTATTGATCAATTTTAATCTTGTTATAAAAATGCAAAATTTTTAAGCAAGATATTAAAAAACTTTTCTAAACATATTAAAAAGCAATTGAAGCGAAATTTGTTTAATTTGTAATTTTTTTTTCATACACCTGAAGCTTCTGAATTCCTCATGAGTGCTCTATAGTAGATTAGGATCGGGATCAAGAGAACAAAATATAGAAAACTTAAAAACATTACCAGATTCTCAACCTAAAAATATAAAAATTTTATTTTTCAAATCGTATATAGGCAAAATATAGACTAGTTTTCTTAATTGTAGCAAAATTATTTACTACTGAATTGGGATTTAACTTTAAGTAAATTTTATACGATAAATACATATATATCATGAACGATACAATAAACTCGATATTTTTGTTTTAAAAATCTGTACTGATGTTTTTTTAGAATTGGGATTCAAGAAAAGAAAATACAGAATGCATAAAAATATGACTAGGTTCTCTACTTGACAAAATTCAAGGCTTGTAATATGGGCTTACAGCTAGGGTTGTTAATCGTTTTTAAAAACGATCAAAAAAATAATTGTTTTTCGTTTCGATTTCATTTTTCCTAAAAACGATCGTTTCGTTTTATGAAAAACGATAGTTTTTTAAAACGAACCACTTTTCACTTTCAAAAATCGTTTAAAAAAACGAAATAGGATCATTTTTTAAAACGATCGGCTGTTAAGAAAGATATTTTTTCTCTCAAAACGATCGTTTATTGAAATTTCAATTTTTTCAGGAAGATAAGGTTATGAATGTTGTCATGGTTATTTATCGAGACAAATAACCTGAATGTTTTCCGACCAAAAAAATGTATTTTCTCTTAAAAAGGTCGTTAACAAAGAGGCGTCGTCAAAACCATCGATTTTAAAAACAATCCTTTCTAAAAACGACCGTTTTTAAAAAAACTAAAAACTATCGTTTTTAAAAACTATCTTTTTTTTAAACGATAGTTTTTTTTTAAAACGAACAACGCTTGTTTTTGAAAAACAATCGTTTCGGTTTTCGTTTTTTCTTTGTTGCTTTCAAAACGAAACGATCGGTTTGAAAAAAGTGGAAACGATTCTTTCCCACTTACACTTGATCCATTATTCTGCCAGATCTAATTAGTCCAAGTTTGAAGTATTATAGTTTAAAGCAAACAGTTTAACAAATTCGACCCTCGAAGATCTTTTTAAAATTGATCAATTTAATAGAAAAATCTTAATTTTTTCATATTTGTGAATCGAGAATGGTACTTTTTTAATGAAGGGTTACTTGAAATTACAACCACAGACTTGTTTAAAGAACTGTAAGCGTAATTTCAATTGACCCTCCATGCAAAGTTAGTAATGCTCGATTTACAACAGTACCCTTGAAAGCTTTGTCTTAAATAGATCACACACCTCTGTCCCTTTAGTAAAAGTAAGTTCAATCTATATGAAGCATAAATTCTGACCGCGTCAACCTTGTTGCACCGACTAGTCCTGTCCATAGAGTTAGGTACGGTACAAACTGGGACCGAGGAGGTTGACCCGGCTCGAAAATTCAAATGTACTACGGCTGTTGATTTTAATTTGATGTTTCTCTGCGAAAGTGACTTGCGGATTTCTTGCATGCTGATGCAAATGAGAAATTCACAGAAATAAACACTTCTCAAGTCAGAAAAACGACAATATCTTCAACATTTTTCATCAGTTAAAGGTTTCAAGTGTAAAGTAGAAAACTGCAGGGAGAGCTAGTCCCTTGAAGCTACGGTAACAGTCCCTTTAAGTAAAGATCTAAGTCTCTGACATATGGCTAAAGAGCAGAATTGCAATGGCTCTCTTAAAAGTAAAGTTTAACAACTATAATAAGGTTCTTTTCTACTTCACAGCCTAATAAAATGATTTACAAGGAGAATGAGTAACATACAGTATTTTTAGAAAGTTTGCCGGAATTTTTTTTTCATTTCATATTTTCTTTCTTTAATTAATTATAATTAATTGGTATAATTATAACCAAAAGGTCTTTTTCGAAGCATTCCTAGACAAAAAATTTACTTTTATATATTTGTAATTTTTTCTTAAGTATGTTGTAGAGTAATAAAAGAATCGATAAGAAAATATTTTTTTACCATTTAACTAACCTAGAAATGATAATTATTTCATTGTATTTTAGGAAAATTTATATTTTCATTCTCTAAAAACTATTTAGTGTTCTCTACGTTTGGATAATATAGAATAAAAAAAGATAAATTTGAACAATTTTAATCGAAAGTTTTCACTCTGTTTATTTCCCTTCATTTAGAGTTAGGAGTAGGCATCGGTCTGTAATCCATTTTTAACAAATCTAGGTTTTTTACATAAAACCTACTTTCAGCTTTGAAATGGATAAACCACCCAGATTTTTATGGGGCCTTAGAAAAAAAGCTATGAACGTCAAAGAACGGATCACGATGTTTGAAATCTTACATGTGTTCAATAATAACTCCACTTTTTTAGGAACTGTTTGAATTTCTATTATTCAATGGAATAAATTAACTGTTCTCATACTTGCAAGCAAAGTCAAAAATAAAAGGGCTATATAGTTACAAAGGTGTACTAGTAATGTTGTTTACATTATACTTTCTTGCTAGACTGCAAATTAGACAGATGGAGATAAGGTCAAATTTATGCGATATTTGTGGTGCGGCTTTATGATCTCGTAGCTTCTCTTGTTTCGATTTTACGTTGAATTTATCTGGTTACTCACAAAACTTACAAAACTTTTTTGTTTTTCTCTTTAATAATAGAAATTATGATTTAAACGATTTCGATCTTATGCACAAGCAGCCGTAGTACATTTGAATTTCCGAGCCGGGTCAACCTTTCCGGTCCCAGTTTGTACCGTATCGCCCGGACATTGGGTGAATAAAGCAGACATTCAATAGGACTAGGCGGTGCAACTAGGTTGACGCGGTCCGACTTTAGGTTGAATTTACTTTTACTAAACTTTTACTTTTACTTTTACTAAAGGTGCGTGTATGTGCAATTTACATTATTTTGGCGTGTTCTTCTTTTTTAGTAAATGGATGCCCATCCCTACTAGAGTGGTATCCGTGTATAAAATCATTAATAAATGATCTACACTTCTCATGATAGATCCCATTACCCAGTAAATATATGAATACCTAATGATATAGAATAAATGAGGAATCATTAATAAACAATATTTAAGAATATTCCTTTAGTTTCATATCTTTTATAAACACACTTTCAGGGGGCACTTTACTGTGAACTACTTTTCCTCCGAAACATATAATATAACAGAACTTTTTTACAATAAAGTAAACTAAGTTTTTAAAACACTTCACGGCCTTTTTTCTTCACTTTTTATCTTTTTTCTTCATACAATATTAAACAATAAACACAAATTGTTCTGTTCTCTATAGTTTAAGAAATCTTTTTCTTTTTAAAGGGAGTGATCGGCAATGTCTAGTAGATAAACTGAGAATGTAGACTTGCGGAGAAATTTGTATGACTCATTTGAGACATTTAAAACGTTTTAATGATGTATAATTACTGCACTTGAGGGCAAAGTCGACTTTCAAAATCATCCATTTGAGTGGTTTAGAGAATCAATTTTTTTTAAACTCAGGAAACATTTTTACCGACTTTATGTGCCGAGGGCGAAATTGGCGAGTAAATAATTCTGGACTTTTTATGTTCACAATCGATTTGTCGTAGAAAAAATGTTTCAAGGAATTATTAAATAACGACGACAAAAAAGATCGCAAAAATTCTGCATTAAACGAATTAGTTGTTTAGAAACAGGTTGAGAAGATAAAAATTAACTCTTATCATCGAAAATAAGTATTCTTATTCAGTTTTTAGTTTCTGTAATTTCTCATTGTTCACAAACATTTTCTGAAGATTTTCTAGAATTTTCATTGAAAAGACGACATTTGAAGAATTTGTAGAAATCTTTCAACAAATTTGAAGACGAAATTCAATAAAATGATGAAAAAGAATTACTTGATTCTAAAATGGATTTATTAACAAATTTCTACTGAGAAATGTGTTCCTAAACATCAAATTAGTTTATTGTAGAATTTTGATACATTTTTTGTTGTCTTTATTTAATAATTTTTTAAAAAATTAATTCCCAAAACGTATCCACCCAAATGAATGATTTTGAACGTCGACTTTGCACTCAAACTTAGTAATTATACATCATTAAAACATTCAAAATGTCTTAAATGAATCCTACAAAATTTCTCCACATTCTCAGTTCAACTGCCATACATTGCCAGTCACTCCCTTTAAGCCAATTTTATTAAACGATTTCTTGGGCCATTTGAGGTCCTGTCCCTTATCGATCGGATGCAAACACACAAGCCATAGGTCTGCTTAAGATGGAGATCAATGCTTGATTTCAGGATTCACAATTCGCAGATTTCAGATTCCTTATAAAAATATAAAATTCTCCCAATATTTTCCACTTGTTTGAATCTACCCTCGTATCCATCCATCTTGAAAACTTGAGTTTTCCAATATAAACTTGAAGAAAGAAATCAAGATTTATGAAAGAAATGATTGTTCTGAAAACATGTTTTCAACAACTGTAAATCCGCAATTGACGATAAAAGCAAGATGGCGTCGACACGTGGTAAATATGATCAACTTTATGAAGAATATATAAAGTATACACAAGTGTAAGAGCCAACAATACAAATATAAAAGATCATAAAGTAAGAATTTGGCAAGAACATTTAACTCAGAGATTATGGGAATTATTAATAACATAAACCTATATGACTGTTGTACAGCCCTTCATGTGTTATGTGCTATTATATGGATTAAAGTTGTATACATCTAGAACAGTTGTACATTAAATTGTACACTTTTTTATTATATACTGGGTTTTCAAGTGCATAACTTACGCACATTATACTTCTTTATTATACTTCATATTATACCATTATTATAAGCTGGTTGTTCAAGTTTACATAGCTCTTGTACATAATACCTCTTCATAAAACGCTGGTTGTTCAAGTTGTACATAGCTCGTGTACATTATACCTCTTTATTGTATGCTGGTTGCTCTAGTTGTACATAACTCCTACACATCTTACCTCTTCATTATACGCTGGTTGTTCAAGCTGTACATAGCTGGTGTACGCTGACCAGCTCCAGTACAGTACAAGAACTGACATGGATCCTGTGATATAAATGACCAGCCAGGTTTTAGACTCAGCATACCCTCCATAGATTAGGCTTACAGTAGAACAGAACATTACCAGTCCCAGACTTATGTCCAAATATCTAAAATGCACAATTACAATAAAATATATAACTATAACAGCATTAATCTTAATACAAATAATTTATTTGTTTTACTGTCCTGTGTAGTGTTGATTATGGTCGATTCAAATTCGAACCCGACCGACCCCTGGTGACTGCTTTATTAACGCGCGGCAACAACCCTATCCTATGTCGGCCCAGTTTCAACTTTGATGGCGCGGCCAGATTATTTAGTGCCTGGCCGGCTTATCATAGGTCTATTTGACCTACCCCACTAGCTTGGTTTAGTGTGATATGTCTAGCTGTAATATGTATACTGTAAAACTAGCTCTATAGCTGCCTATAGGTTAACCTTGTTGACCTACCCCATTAGGTTAGTTTAGTGTGATATGTCTAGCTGTAATATTATACTGTAAAACTAGCTCTATAGCTGCCTATAGGTTAACCTTGTTGACCTACCCCACTAGGTTAGTTTAATGTGATATGTCTAGCTGTAATATTATACTGTAAAACTAGCTCTATAGCTGCCTATAGGTTAACCTTGTTGACCTACCCCACTAGCTTAGTTTAGTGTGATATGTCTAGCTGTAATTAATATTATACTGTAAAACTAGCTCTATAGCTGCCTACAGGTTGACCTTGTTGACCTACCCCACTAGCTTAGTTTAGTGTTATATGTCTAGCTGTAATATGTATACTGTAAAACTAGCTCTATAGCTGCCTACAGGTTAACCTTGTTGGCAAATGTCAAAATCTATTTTATCAATGTCGGGAACTTAAATGTTAATATTAAAGGGACTGTTAAGGTAAAATTTAAGGGGGGTATAGGCTAAACCCTAGACATTTTATGAGTTGATCGCGACCAATATTAATTCTATCTGATGTCCCTGTCTCGAGAAATTAAAATAAAAGTGTAATTAGAGATCATATTAAGTAAATACAAAATAAATCTGAAAATTACGATAACCCAGAGGTGTCTAGATATTTTAGGCACGCTCCTATTGTAATTTAAAAGTTATAATTTTTCATTTTAGGTTTCCTTTAAAATTATACTATATGTACTTTTGACGACGATTTTTTTTGGCTACTAGGAGTCACTGCTCTCGATGTTTCAGGGATTTTACTTGGCAGAGACACCTAGCGGGAAAAAATCGTGAAAGTTTAAAGGAACTAATATTGGTTGTGATTTACTTCTATATATGTATATATATACCCCCTGTCATTTTACCTTTAGTTGCTAAAATTTGAGTTTGTTTTTAATCTTCCTGACAGAACAATCTCAAGGACTGACGAGGGTCAACCCAGACCGAAATATACTTTCAATAAATGTGGAACTAACATTTACTTTTTTTCACTCTACAGAGGTTTGGTCCATCAACATCACCGAATTTTAAAGTTGCTAAAAATTGTTGCTAAAAGAACCAACATATCCTACACAAGCTGCAGTTTGATTCAACAAATATCAAAATTTGAACTTTCTGGTATATTAGGATATACATATATATATATGCATTATGTATATTAGGATATATATATAAGTTTAAAAGTCAAATAACAAAGTTTCATATTTGCAAAGCTAGAAAACGGCCAAAACCTTCTAAACTTTTTTTTAATCTCAAATTTAAACCGGGGGGGGGGGGGGGNNNGAGGTCAATACTGTCTATTTTCTACCTCTGAAGTTGGAGGTCAATACTGTCTATTTTCTACCTCTGAAGTTGGAGGTCAATACTGTCTATTTTCTATCTCTGAAGTTGGAGGTCAATACTGTCTATTTATTACGTCTGAAGTTGTAGGTCAATACTGTCTATTTTCTACCTCTGAAGTTGGAGGTCAATACTGTCTGTCTCCCCGAGGACGTAAAAGTGGAAGATGACCCAGAGGAATGAGAGGATGGAACCGAGACCACCAAACACCAGACAGTACAGCTTTAAACACCATCTAAACAGAAACAAAAACATTTAGAACAGTTTTCTTTGCAGCAAAATAAAATTTCCGAATTCCCATATCTTTGCAACCCAATTGTGTAAATCTAACTGAGAAATATAAAAGGGCTACACCATCAGGTTCCTTAGGAAAAGTGTACTTTCCTAAAATATTAGTCTATATTGCCAAAACTGATTTTTACCATTTATAAATTCCCAAATTGAAAGTTTTTATGAAAGGAGAACTTTCTAACTCTGTCAATTAAGGCTTAACTTGAAAGGATGTCTCTTGTAAAAGTAAGGATCAAATTGAATTTAAAAAAATTTCTAAATTCTTGTTACTTCATTAAAAGAAATTTTGTAGTATATATTGTTTTTTTAAATCATGATGAAAAGTAAAAAATTAAAATTGATTAAAAAAATCCAGTTTTTTCAGATCAGTGATGAAGCGATAAAGCGATAAAGGGACTGTAAGCGTAATTTCACGTGCAAAGACGACAATGCCCGATTCACAAACCAGACAAAAACTATTACCTTTCAAAAGTGTGTACGTTGATAATCAATTTATACTTGAACAGACTAAGGTTTAAAGGGTAACGTAATCTTTCCATGGAAGCTCACTTAAAATTACGCTTACAGTCCCTTTAATCCATTAAAACTGAAAAGAAAAACAGTCTAAATTTTAAGTAAAAACAATAAAATTCTAGATAAGTATATTGAATTTCTAACTAAAGAGCCGGAAACAAATCGATGTCTAAACAAATCTTACCAAATAAATGCATTAAAGAAAAAATAGGAAAATATTTTTAAACAAAAATTTAAATCTGTACAATTTTAAAAAGTTTTGACTTTTAGGGGCGTTTCGACCCCTAACTAATTTTCGCGGATATTCATAATGAAACTGATGCATATTCAAAAATAATTGTTGACATTTTTTCATGGAAAAATGTTTTGATTTTATTAAGATTCAGAGCTTTGGTTAAATTCAGTACAATAAGATTTCGATTTCAGAGAAATTCACGAGAATTTCTCGTTCTCGAAATAATGTTTCTAAAATTTGTAACTTAATTCTGAAAATCTTTGCCACAAAAGCTCTGTTTTTCCCTGTATCGTTGAACCCTGATGCTGTATCCCTTTTTTTATATCAAACTATGATTTATCTTAGATCAAATAATCTAGTTTGAAATATCTAAGGTTTACACAATCAGGTTGAAAAGAAATACAGAATAGAAAAAAAGAGTTTGTGGCAAAGACTCAATTTCTTTCCGGAGTCCTAATCACAAGAATCAAAATCAAGAGAAATTCCCAAGAAATTCTCCGAATTGAGTCATTTAAAGTTTAAGTTCTTGAAGAATTTCCCAACTTTTCTATGTTTGGTTAAATTCACTCCACCGGGTTTCATTATCAAATTGTTTCATGAATAAAATAACATTTTTTTTCTTTTAGTGGAAGTTTTTACGGGAAATTTATACATTTTTTATAAAGTTTTAAGCTGGAAAACAATTTTAAAGATTAAAGATAAATAAAAAAACAATAACTAAAATAATATTAATAACGCAGACAAACAAAATCTAAGATTAAAACTGCCTCAGGCATTTTTCCTTTCTTATTTTAAGTTCAAGCTCGAATAGAATATTCGGTCTGTTCCCATCTAATTTAAAAGGACTGTAAATGTTTTTCAAGTAATCACCCATTTATGGCATAGAGATTTGAAAATGGTAAAGAATCATTTTTTACAAATATTTAAATGCTTTTCAAGCATTTGAAAAATTAGATCGGTATATTTAAAAATCAAAAAGATGTCAGACGGAGGTATACCGAACCGTCGTAAACCATACCACTCCTTTTTTATCAGAGGGTCACTTTAAAAAAAAAGCCTACAGTCCCTTTAAGCAAGTTTATGTATTAAATTAAACTAGATAAATCTATTTTCCAGTTTAGAATCAATAAAACGGTGGACATAGGGCATACTTCATATATATGGATATAACGAGGGATGCACATTAAACTGAAGTAAATTTGACGTAACATTGAAATTTTACATGTTTTCATGTATAACTTCTCTTATTCAAGAACTTATTAAGAACTGATTAAAGGAATTGAATCTTTGCCATAAACTCTGATTTTTAAATCCCTATATCTAAACAACCCAATGTTGTAGACCTTAGATATTTCAAACTATGACTTCTGTTATATCAAACAATCAAAGTTTGAAATATCAAAGGTTTACATAATTTGGTTTTAGATATATAGGTATTAGAAAATTGGGATTTGTTGCAACGACTCAATTCCTTTCTATATCATATAACTGGATGAATAATTGTTTACATACTTGAGCAAAAAAAAATAACGTAGAGAAATGTTTATTTTAATTTTAAGCTATTTCAAAGAAATTATAGACTGTCATATCCGATATACAACTTGTAAAATTGATTATTTATGATTATGGATTCTATAGAAAGTGAATTGCTCATATCTGCCTATTGGAACAAATAAAGGAAATCTAACAATTTTCAAACCATAGAAAACACGATTTTTCAAATTATTATTCAAATAAAGAGCTAATATCGTTGTGATTGTGATTATTTCCATGCGATTTTTAGTCTATATGAAATATTTTAGATGATAAAAAACTTGTTATTCTAAAAAATGTATGATAAAGGGTCAGATTGTTAAAATAATTATGATCTTTAATATTTTCTTCTCTTCTCTTAATTAAGCTTTTAATATTTCAATTAGGCCAAATAGCAATTAAATGTAAAACATGAAATCATAAGAATTTAGATTTTTCACTAACAGCTTATAATCCTAAGAAAATAAATTTTTTTTAAATTTTTTTTTATCCCCGTTTTTGATTTTATAATTCCTTTATATGTTTCCTGCAGTAGTATTGCCGACACTGTTTTTGAAAATCCACAATTGTAAAAAAACCATTTTTACTTGATCAGACAAAACTTTTAAAGTTATCGTCGTGAATCGGCCGGGCATTGACATTTTTGCATAAAGGCTCATTTGAAATTACGCTTACAGTCCCTTTAAAATATAAACAACAAAAATCTATTTTCGGTTTTTTACTAACCATGTGTTAGATTTTAATTAGTGAAGATTAATGAAAAAAGGCTACAGTAAATCTCAGTCTGTCGATCAGGATTTTATATGTCGACACAGAACTAAATTAATTCAATCTTGTCACAGATTCATTTATAATATTATTTTCTAAAATTAAACTTTAAAATTAATAAAATTGAAGATAATAAAGACGTAATTTAGGTTGACTCTCCATGGCGGGTCGGATTCACAACGGTGCCCTTAAAGCTTTTAAGCTTTTGTCTGATCATCTAAGAAATTTTCTCAATTTATAGATTCTGAAATAGAATTGGTAAAATTAAGACTATTTTATGTTTAATAAAAATGTAAAACAGCTTGCTTGGTTGTAAACAATTACAATTGTTTCTGCAGATAGTTTACATAAGCAGTCAATTTTATCAGACAACAGTTTAAAAATCGGACATGCGACTAAACGCATAGGGTTCTGAAATTACGCCTGTAACAATACCTTTAGCCCACAAAACATTGGATGTATGTGATGACATTACTGATATGATTTTGTGACATCGTAGCGCATCTAGTTTTAGTGAGATAAGAACAGTTATCTGGGTACATATTAGAAATTTAAAACATTTTTTCTTCTCAATAGCACTTTAATAAAGGTATTGTTATGATGAAAAACATGAAAAAGCATGACGTACAAATAAATATTTTACCTGAAGGAAGAAACACTTGGACATCGTATTCTCAATTCTATTCTATCCTGCTCTGTGTCCGGGGTATAATGTTTCCTTTTAAACAAAATAATTCAGTTTATATCCCAGCTATACAGTGTCCGGGGATAATGTTTCCTTTTAACCAAAATAATTCAGTTTTTATCCCAGCTATACAGTGTCCGGGGTATAATGTTTCCTTTTTAACAAAAATAATTAAGTTTATATCCCAGCTATACAGTGTCCGGGGATAATGTTCCCTTTTTAGCCAAAATAGTTCAGTTTTTATCCCAGCTATACAGTGTCCGGGGTCTAATGTTCCCTTTTTAACCAAAATAATTCAGTTTTTATCCCAGCTATACAGTGTCCGGGGTATAATGTTTCCTTTTTAACAAAAATAATTAAGTTTGCATCCTCTACGGTAAGACCCTTAAAAATGTGGAATGGAAAACGATATTTATTCTGAAGTTATTATTGTAAATAGTACAATGAACATGACATACACCATTTTAAGAAGTTGATTTAACGCTACTGGAAAAATTATTTGATTTTTAACAACAAATACACATTAAATTGTCGTCTTCTTGTATCATAACTTAATGGGCCCCACTGTATCAACAACCAACTAAAAGCTGTTCAGAAATTGATTTATGAACCTATAACTGATTTTAAATTTGTCTGCTCTATATAGAGCATTAGTTAAAATAGTTTAAAATGATTTTTAGATCCAACTTTGATATTTTGATTTGAAAATGAGTTAAAATATATATCATTTTTTGGTGCGATCATTCTAATGCGACAGCTTTCGCATAAAGTATTAAAGTTTTTAATGAAAACTAAATTTAGAATCTTTTGTTAAAAACGACAAAAATAATAGGATACATTCAATCTTTTAATCGTGAAAAAAATGTTGTGAAAACTTTTTATTTCTATAAAAATTGTAAATTTATTTTCTTGTTTATCGAAAATTCAATCAAGAAAATTTAGTTTTCCTGTGACAAGCAATTCAATTTGCTATTCATATATTCTAGATGTAGTAGATCCATACTTATCCTTTCTCAACAAAATATTTGGGATTTGTTTACCGTGCATTGTTAGAAAGAACCTCTAACATTATGATCTAAATATCGAAGTATAAGCAAAACAATTAGACATTATTAACATTTAATTCGATACTGGCTTGAGAACCCAGCTTTAATCTGGAAACTAGCTTTGAAACACAACGTTGCATTGCCTGGAAAATAGCCATGGGAACTTAACTTTAAGCTGGAAAATAGTCTGTGAACCCAGCTTTAACCTGGAAAATAGCCCGGGAACCCAGCTTTGCCTAAAACTTTTGCCTGGAAACTTGCTTGGGAACCCGCTTTGCCTGGAAACTTGCTTGGGAACCCAGCTTTGCCTGAAGACAAGCTTGAGAACCCAGCTTTGCGTGGAAACTAGCTTGAGAATCAAGCTTTGCCTAAAAACTAGCTTGGGAACCCAGCTTTGCCTGAAGACTAGCTTGGGAACCCAATTTGCTTAAAAACTAGCTTTGGAACCCAGCTTTGTCTGAAGACTAGCTTGGTAACCCAACTTTTCCTGAAAACTAGCTTGGGAACCCAGCTTTGGCTAAAAACTTGCTTGGAAACCCAGTTTTGCCTAGAAGCTAAACTTTCCATATAAAAGTCAATCAACTGAACTAAGCTAAGAACATTCCGTTTATTGACTATGATCCCCAATTCCCAATTAAAATTTGATCGGTCGAGGGGTTCAAGAGCTATGATCGAAGACTACTAATTTATAGAAAAAGAGGATAAAGGAACACTCGCCACAATTTTCTAATTTTTATCTTTGCAACCTGATGTTGTAAATCTTTGATATTTCAAACTGTAGAATTATTTAGAACTTACAAATTTAAGTTTATAATATCACACCATCAGATTACAAAGATATTAAGATTAGAAAAATAATTTCTGTTGCGAGAGTTAAGATCCTTAACATTCTGTTAGAAATTTTAAACAAAATGCTTTTGGTACAGTTCGATGTTACGGAAAAAAATTTAGACTTTCCAAACAAATGGATTCTGCAATTTTAAATGTGATGAAGTGCATTGGCTTAGATATATTAAACCCCCCCTGGATACAAAATTCTGCAGCTACCCCCTTATCAGACTAGGTGTTAAACATCATCATAAATCTTTGCAACAGCTCAGCTCAGGCAGAAAATTCAGAATCGACAAACAATCTGAATCATTTTTTTCTTTTTTAACAATTTCTTTTCTTTATTTAAAAAGAAATATTGCAAAATTTCATACACAAGAATTTCATGAAAAAATGTTGTTCTAAAGAAGACAAGGCTAGTCACACTTTTTAACTCACCCTGTATCTTTTGCAAAATATGCTTTTAAAATATCAATGTTTACACCGTCAGAGCTAAGAAACATCTTGTATTTTGGATATCGAGATCAATCTGCAGATTAGTTTAATCTTTTTTCGATATTCCGTACCTAGTTAAAGAGAACTTTGATCAGCGAAGGATTAAGAAAAATGAAGAAACCCGAAAAATTGATTGAAATATTGTGTTTACTCCGTGTTTGAAACAAACAATGTTTATAAACAAATCGTTGAAAATAAAGAACACAGTTAATTATGAACATTAAATAAAGTACAACTCCTTACTGGGTATGATGGGCATGACCATCACAGGATATTGAAAAGGAATTAAAGTAAAGTTTCAGAAAAATCAATAAAATAAAAATTTCGCGAATTTCGTTTGCAAAAATTTCGTTTGAAACCCTAAGAGGATTAATCTGTAGATTTGCATAAGAAGACATCAATGTTCGATCTCGAGATTCACAACTTCAAGACAGTTTCAGAAAAATGATTTTTTAATTAAAATTAATAAAAATATTGTAAACAAATAGAAGCACTTCTGTCATGTTTGAGAAAATTATTAAATATTGCTGTGTATGGATGTAAATGCAAAATGTGCAGGAATAAAAAAGATTAAATTAATCTCCTAGATCCATTGTATAGCTTGCTAAATGCTAGAATAGGAAATAATAAAAATTTCCCAGTTTCTCACAGGGTTCAAATATTAATCAGAAAATATTGTAAAGACGACAATAAGTAGAAATGCACGAAATTTTATAAAAAAAATGGTTCTCAAAGGGTTCAAGCGTAAATCTGAAAAGGGTGTAAAGACGACATAAATTGGAAATGCATGCAGTGGAAACCCAAATCAAAATGTGTTTGCTTCCCATTACATGTTCAAAGTGGGACCAATGGAAATTAAATTGAATAATTTATGAGAGATATTACTGGACTCTTGCAGCATAAAATGAAAAAGATATTGATACTGACAGTTGATTCCAAATTCTATTCGAGTGTAAATCCCCCCCCCCCTTATTTTTCGCCAACACTCCCTTTAAAGAACATAACTTTTCTACAGTTGAGAAGTAGCACTCTATAGATACTTTTAAGGGAGATTAGAATGTATTTCAAGCAGAATCAATTAAATAAGATTTCAGGAAAGAATAAAAAGTCTTGAAACAAAAACAATATTGGAGTCAAATCAGGGGGGTTGGATCTTAACTACCTCTTCGTGTGGATTAGCCTGAGTGTACATTTAGTATAAATAATATGTACTATATACTTGACTAAAATCCGCAATTCACCAAAGTCCTTGGGGAGTTTTTAAAGCTTAATTTGAATTGTCATTTTTTCCCGTGAAAAAAATATAACTCAGAGTCAGATGCAGTAGAGTCTTTTAAGTATAAAATAGTCTGTAAAATCGTACAATGATTAGAATAAAAAAGGACTTGGGTTAGAAATTTAGTTTTCGTAAAAAAACCTTCGAAATAATTGTCAGTGCACAACTCTTGCACTTTTTCACAAGACTTTGCAAAGCCAAAAGTTAGGACTTTCTCACATGTAATTTTACATGAGTTGACCGGGTTTAAACATCTTCAAAATCGTTTTTTTAAGAATTAAAAATGTAATTTTAGCAGGTTTTCTACAACTCTAAAAAATGATGAATTATTTATTCCTTTGTCTGGTGAAGTCTGTGTTGTACGGTGGTGGAGGACTGTACCGTAGTTCTTCACATTCTCCCTCAGTGTACTGCAGTATGTACAATTCTAACACTAATGCTAACCCAGCGTTCTGCAAAATTTGAGCTTTTTGGCCATATACCCAAGGATGTAAGGCAAGGAAAGTCATGTCAGAAGTGTACACATCTTTAGTACTGCAGTGTACTGTCTCTGGGATCTAATGTAAACACAAGACGGATGTCGAAGCCTGACATGGGATCCATCATTCACATAAAAAATCAATGAAATATTCTGGTCATAGGAAATTATTATGTGAATTATCAAAATTATCAAAATTTAATGCTTTTAACCTCCTTGGATACTAAACGAACACTGATGCATCTATTATTGTTTACAAATTCCGCCCAGAGAGAACTGGTTTCAATATGTACACAGAGTGCACACAACCGCAATTAACTTTCCTTGCCTTACATTCTTGCATATACCTAAACATTATTTTCTTTTCTGCGTTAATATATTTTAATTGTAATATTATGGACTAGATGAGGTGCACGGTGTTGCCCAGGTTACTCATAGTTAGTTTCGACGTTTTCATGTGCTTAGTCTTAAATAATGGTTTTAGCTGAAGTGCACAGCGTTGCCCGTGGAATTTTTAAAAAATCCCAAAATGTTTAGCCTATGATACCCCGGGGGTACCCAAGGGCTTCTTTAAAAAAATTCAGCCAATTTAGTCCAGCCGTTTGGCCTGCTGTCGGCATACAGTGAACAAATAAACAAGCGAAGATCTTCATTATATAGATTAAACATTATAGAGTTTATAGAGTTTATAGTTAATATTAATCAACCTTGCTTGTTAGAGATAAATCTGATTTAAAGGGACTGCCGGCGTATATTTCAAGTGACTCTTTATATATATTACTTCTAAAACTTTTTATTTTTTTCTATTTAAAGAAATTGAGTCTTTACTGCAGACTAAAATTTTATTCATCTCATATATCTTTGCGACCTAACGGTTTTTAAAATTTCAAACTTAGATCATTTAATCTAACAGAATTCATAGTTTGAAAAAATAGAGGGATTAGAAAATCAGAGTTTGTGGCAAAGACTCAAATTCTTTATTATTTCACCGGAAAAATGTTGGCGAAGAAAATTAATAATTTATCTCATTTCAAAATAGAAAAACAACTAAATCTTTTTATATATTTCTATTGTTACCGAAACTAAGTCTTAAAGGGCAACGTTGTGATTTGGGATTAACTTTTTAAGTTACGCGTACAGTCCCTTTAAAATTAATCACCCTTGGTTGTTTGAGTTTAATCTGATTTAATCTATTAGTTTAAAATTGTATTCCTGAGCCATCATTTCTCTAGTTCTCTTCGCTTCCAAGCCTAGCTCCAGGCAGCCATCAAACTGTACAACTGGGCGTTATTCAAGTTACAAAAAAAATAACTTTTTGTAAATTTTGTAAATTGTAAGTTTTTCAAATATTTAGTTTTTATTGCCAAATTAATCTAGACAAAAGGTTTTTTTTTTCACAATAAAATTGTTAAAACTGTTGATGGAAAAGCACAATACAAAGGCTCGTCAAATAAAAAAAAAATAATTTCAAAATTGAAAAATTTTAAATGTTAATTCAGATCATATATTCTAAACTATTCTGAGAGATTACGGTGCTTAAAATTTGTTTTCATCTATTTTAGAGCACCATGAAAACTAAACAGAAATTATAATTTCTAAATGTGGACCCAATTTTGTCATCTGTAAATGCATGTAGCTAAAAAAATTTTATTTTTTTTTTCAATCACAGATTTAGATTAAAACGAAATTTTTGAAAATTTAAAAAAAAGAAATTGAGTCTTTGTAAACCTTTTATCTTGGGTTGCAAAGATAAATATATTAAAAAAGCAGAGTTGGTGGCGCGCAAACACTCAATTCTTTTGCAAAATTGAAATTAAAATCCCTGTTTAAAACTAAAATGTAAGCAAAAAAATAAATTTAAAAATAAGAATGTGTCCAGCCCTACCTACCTCCTTCTGATCTATACTCCGGGTGTACCCTGAACCTGACAGTTATCTCGGACAGATGATATGTTTCTCAGGGTACTCGGGAACACACAAGGGAGGATATTTTCTCTTTATCAAAGTTCTCCAGGTCCTCGTAACATCACCTTTGTCCTGACATCACTAGGAAAGTTGTCAGACCAGCAAAAACTTAACTTTTTCTCTAAATATTGTTTTCATTTTATCCTCTCAAGGTTGCAAGAAAATGTTGATTACCAATGTTTCTTGTTTTTACATCTTGGCTTTTCACTTGTTCAAGTCTCATGGTTTTATTTTTCTGAAAAAAGTTAATGTTTATAAAACACATTTTCTAAAGCAGTTGCCATCATATTGTGTATTTTGTCATTCAAGGATGTTAAGCTTAAAGTAATAATAAAATTTTTTGCAAAATAAGCAATACAAAAAATGTTCTTGGATATTTGGATAAAATACATATGACACAGTGATCCAAGTTTGCAATCTTAACGCGAAAATCGATGAGAATCTTGTTTATTTCTAAATTTAAAAACAAGTTCAAAATGACATTACATAATGTACATGCATTACAAGAAAGTGTAAGGGGGTTAGGAATGTACAATTATCTCAGATTTTATCAAAAATCCATCAAACTAAGCGTAGTATAAGCCTTTCATATATCAATATTCAAAACGTAAAGTCTAACGAAAATATTTTTTATTTTAGTTTGAAAATCTACTAATATAAAATCAGCAAAAGTTGGTGTGGTAACTATACTAGAAAATCTACTAATATAAAATTTGCAAATGTTGGTGTGGTGACTATACTAGAAAATCTACCAATATAAAATCTGCAAATGTTGGTGTGGTGACTATACTAGAAAATCTACCAATATAAAATCTACAAATGTTGGTGTGGTGACTATACTAGAAAATCTACCAATATAAAACCTGCAAATGTTGGTGTGGTGACTATACTAGAAAATGTAAAATCCAGTAAAAATCTGTTTTATATTATTTGACTGAAAATAAAATAAAAATGTCAGATCAGAGAAGAAACAATATTAAACCGAGATTGAAAACAAATACTTTCTAAATTCAATTGAATTCAGAAAACCAAGAAGCAAGTTTATTTACAAAAAAAGATCTGTACGCAAATAGGACTTTTTTTTGTAGATTGAAAATTCAAAATCTTTATAAGAAAATTCTCGAAATGATTTAGAAAATAATCTGAGAAACTGGTTTAAAAATAGAACATTTCTACAAAAACAGTTTGTATTTTTTTTTAAATGTTGAAAAAAGATTAGTTTATAAAAACAATTAAATGTTATTTCTTTTTCTTTATCTTCTTGTCTAACCATATCTTCTCATCAATATAGTAATTGATATCCGTATCCCGCTGTAGTACATTCCTTATATTCCCTTTACTAAAGTAAATTGATATCCGTATCCCGCTGTAGTACATTCCTTATATTCCCTTTACTAAAGTAAATTGATATCCGTATCCCGCTGTAGTACATTCCTTATATTCCCTTTACTAAAGTAAATTGATATCCGTATCCCGCTGTAGTACATTCCTTATATTCCCTTTACTAAAGTAAATTGATATCCGTATCCCGCTGTAGTACATTCCTTATATTCCCTTTACTAAAGTAAATTGATATCCGTATCCCGCTGTAGTACATTCCTTATATTCCCTTTACTAAAGTAAATTGATATCCGTATCCCGCNCCCCCCCCACCTCCACAAATACACACACATACACAGGATCTACCACGTCAAACTAACATATGTATCCATTATCAACTCCTCTTAGTATAGATCTACTGAAAAGAAAAAAACGTTTTAAATTTCTGGATTATTTGCTTTGCTAATATTTGCACTTAAAATAGAAATCAGAAGAGTTACGACGTCACAAAGTCGAATTTTTACTATATTTTGTGTAGATATGTAAATTAAAAATCTATCCAAGGAAAGACTTTGAAAGCAAAAATTCCTTTTATAAACTTATCTCAAATTTCTAGTTCTAAAGAAAAATGTAAATTCTTTTACGCGAACCTGAGAATTGTATACATTTTCTTTTACTTTCTACCGTTTCTATCATTCTATATATATATCATATAGATCGTATTTTATATTCGATAGAGTCTAAGCCTAAATCAATGCCCGATTCACAACAGTATCCTTAAAACCTTTATCTGATCAATATTGTGGCCAAGACGATGCAAGGATTTTAAGTCCTTTGGCTCCAAAAAAATGATGAATTATTTTTAAAGTTGCCTATATCTCAGCGTCGTACTAGGCTATCAGGGCGCTTTGCACCCATCTTCTAGTTCTACTTTTAATTGTTGCTTCGCGCCCATCTTCTATTTCAACTTTTTTTCTAACCTTTTTTAACAATTTATATTTTAATTTTAGATAGGATTTTTATAAATTACAAACTTGTTCAATATTATTTAAATACTTGTTCAACTTTAAATTGTTGCTGAATCTTTCAATATTTTCGTGGCTTTTTAAAATTTTATAAAAATCAAAAATTTTTGGAAAATTAACTTTCGTAATTCAGAGAATCCATAAAGTCCTTCCCAGGGGTCATTTGAGGTCCCAGACCAAATTTGGGTCGGATCCCTTCAGCCGTTTTGGGTTCTATTGGATACAAACAAACAGACAGACAAGGAAAGTATATATATAACACACTGTTCCATAACCTAGGTTAATATGTAAATGGTTAGTGAGCATGATATCATTAATTAGATGCAATCCTATAAACATATATACATATATATCCTCCCTTCTTTCTTTTTATCAATATATATATATATACATATATATATCCTTCCCCCTTTCTTTTCATCAATATATATAGACATATATATCCTCCCCTCTTTCTTTACATCAATATACATATACATATATCCCCCTCTTTCTTTACATCAATATATAGATACATATATCCTCCCCTCTTTCTTTACATCAATATACATATACATATATCCTCTCCTCTTTCTTTACATCAATATACATATACATATATCCTCCCCCCTTTCTTTACATCAATATATATATATACATATATCCTTCCCCCTTTCTTTTCTACAATCTACATATACATATACCCCCTCCCCTCTTTCTTTTCATCAATATATATACATATATCCTCCCCCCTTTCTTTTCTACAATATACATACATATATGTAGATTGTAGAAGTATATAAAATGTAAAGGGTCAGAAAAAACAGAGAGGAATTTTTTAAAGATTTTTTCAGAAATATTGGCACTTATAATTTTCTAAAAATGTTCAAGTAAAAAACTTCTATCCGCCCCTCTAGTAAAAGGACTGTATTCGCATAATTTCAAGTAACCCTATATGCAAAGATGACAATGTGCTGTTCACTTTAGTACCTTTTGTGTGTATATTATCTTATATTTATAGTCATCGTCGTGTCAATTCGATATATATATATATATATATATATATATATATACATATATATATATGTATAGTAAGATTATGAATAGTTTTTTATATTATTAAAAGCATATACTGGTCTGAAGATTAGGCTGCATGGTATCCCTTCTATTTTATTATAAATTATGTATGTACATTATATACAGGGTGTCGCTCTTAACATAATAGTTAAGATGCGACTTAAAGATCGTTTTCGATCTATATTATGAGACAATTTGTAACAATCATCCTTCATAAGTTTTTCTACCCTTTTAAAATGTATAAGTCGGTGTAGGTCAAATTAAAATATGTTTCAATTATAGATTGAAATCACAGAAGAACTATTGAGAAGAAAAACAGATTTTGATTTTCTAAGAAGCATCCAACCATAGTACATTTTCGTGCCGGGTCAACCTTTCCGGTCCGAGTTTGTACTGTACCTAGCTCTATGGACAGGACTAGCCGGTGCAACTTTATGCTTCATATAGGTTAAATTTACTTTTACTAAAGGGGCAGAGGTGCGCGATCCATATAAATTTGGTTCTCTCATCAAAAATAGTGAAGTTATTAGTTCGCAAAGTAATACCAGTAATGTCTAATAAATTTAACCTTCTCTTGCGATTATAAAAAAATACGAAATGTCGTCTCTCAACTTTCATGTTTTGTGGGACACCCTGTAATTATGTATTCGATATCATTATGTAACAGTAATTATTCTCATTGTTTTATAAAGTATTTTGTTTGATAAACTGGACGACAAAACATAAATAAATCAATCAAAAATAATGGTAGAAAGCTTTAAACTTATTTCAATCTTTTTATTTCATTGTAAAATTTAAAATTCTTCGGGTTTTTCGGATTTTTGATTTTCGGCCTTTTCACATAAAAAAATTTATAAAAAAAAATTGGCCCAGATCGGTTGTGTGCTATGGATAGAAAAATCAACAAACAAGCCGTATATATATATATTTATAAAAGAAACTATTCATATTATTATCAATAGCATACAATGGTCTCAGAAAAAGGATTATTCCCTGCTATTATTATTTTCACAAAGAGTTCTATTCGATATTATTATAGTATTTTATAATCTTTATATTGTTTTTGTTTCCTACCTTTTCTTTGTTTCTTAGAAATTAGATTTCATTAATTGGAGAACATACATATAATTAAAGGAATTTGTGAATTTGTTAACACCCATATCTTTACAACTTTGATCTAATAGAGTTTATAGATTATAGTTTATAGATGTCACTTAAAATTGTATTCAATTTTACAAGATTTAAGCCGGCGATCAATTGAACCCGGTTTTTGACCGATTTAAGCCGCGGCTCAAATTCATTAAATTCGGACACAGGTTTTTAATCAAATTAAATGAAAGATTTCAGTTTGTTTTGAAATAAAATTTATATAGTGTGCACAAAAGTTATTTTAATCAGACCATGTTAAACGATTTTTTTTTTGGGGGGGGGACGGGCATCCCCGGAACTAGCCCCGTTTACATTTATTCTGTGTAATATAAACCGTATCCCGATTAAAGGGGTGTTAGAGGGTCCCCCCCCCCATGATCTTTCCCTTCGAGTTGAGACAGGGAAGTGCCATGCATGTCCCTAGTCCAACCTCTCAAGGAAAGGTCATTAAAAAAATTCTTTAACTTAAAGGTTCAAGTGCTAGAGAAGTTTTAAAAAAAGGTTTAACAAGTTCGTTGGAATTTTGACAAATATTGATACGTGAGACAAGAGCTTTTCAAATATGTACATTTTAAACTGTAACATAGTTTTTAAAAAAGTAATTGATTATTTTTGATTTTTTAGAACACCGACAGTCAAAACACCTACAATTTCAGTATAAAAACAGCCAAACACTTAGAAACCTGGTAAATGTATGTGAAACAATC